ACCATAGATTTAAAAAAAAAAAAAAAAAAAAGCCACAAGGGTCTTTTAGCTAGATTCTGACCTTCTGTGGCACTAAGGATGGTCTTATTTCATGTAAGACTGAAGCAGGAGACTGCTGATGGCATAACTACGGGCTCCGTACACTGGGGCTGGACTGGAGCAGCCCACACGCCGTGTCTGCCTGGCCCTTTAAATGCGCTACACAAACTCAGAACTTGAGTGTTTGCTCCTGCCCTTGTGAGAAACTCAACTCCCCGGGGTCACTAAAATTGAACTTATGAGGAAACACCTGTAAACACTTCAAGCCTCATTAAACGAGGACGTCCTTCATTTCAAAAAGAAACCCCTTTTTCTGTTTTGTTTTTTCTTTTTACCAAAATACAACACTTCCTACTGAAGAAGAGACAGCCCTTCCAAAATAGCTTGGCAAAGCCAAATGAAGGCCAAGAGACACTTGCCACAGGAGTCGAAATAAGTCCTTAGCATTAATAACAGCACCATTACATCCTACCTATTCACATCATTACATGAACATAATCTCTTACACCACTTAACATTCTTCCCCCTAAATCTCAGACCATGATGGTGAATATTCACACGTAACTTTGACCCAGGACCTTCATAGCCAGAGAAATATTTGTTGGAGGCTGCACAGTGAGTTTAGGATTCTGGCATTCCTATCTTCCTGTTCAGTTTTTTTTAAAAAAATCACTCAATTGCCACGGCCCCGAAGTTTGCTCTCACAAATTTCTCTTCCCATAAAAAGAACAAGGCAGGATCTGGACCGATCTTTGGCCAGGAGACTATAAAAGAATTTCATCCTTTCAGGGATGCCAAACGCCTCTCAGGAGTAGAGAGGTGAACCATTCTGCAATGTACCATTTAATGGAAAAAAAAAACAAAAAACAAAACGAAAAACCACCCCACATTAATCAAATTGTATTCCCCCTACTTCAAAGATTCGTCCAAAACCAAAAAAAAAAAAAAAAAGAACCACAAAGAAGCAAACCCCAAAGCAAGTAGAGTGGAAAGAAATAAGGAATGTGTACCTCCACAGTGCTGCCCTCCAACACAGCACCCACCTCCTCGGTTCTCAGGCACGAGAACATTGTTCAGCCACGTTTTGCATATCTGCATTAATGCTTACTACCAGCCACACGGTGTAATATCCTCTCTGGTGTTGAAGTGCTTAGTAATAGCAGGCAGCCTGTCAGCTGATGCTTCACAGATGGACAGGTAAGCTGGAGTCTAACTCCTAGCCCAAGACAGCTGAAAGACGTGAGGAAGAACATTAAAACTGGCTTTAGTGGCGCTCCGGTTAGACCGAAGTGGGAAGAATTTGTGGACTCTCGTATCTCCGATACAAAAGCAGTGGTGTATTTCTCTCCAAAATAATGGAACTTCGTTTTAGAAACGTCTTAAATCTGGAGAATTAAGATCAATGCTTGTAATGCAACTGGAAATCTCTCCCTGACCAAGTTCTCTGAAAGCCAGGGCCCGATCGTATACTGAGATTTACTTAAAGCTTACGGCACAAGGCAATCTCCGGAAATACTGTGAGAAATTCCAGGAATCTGGCTTGAGACGATGCTTGAGACAACATCGGAGTGTTTGGAACCACACCCTGCTGCAGTTTTCTTCCGGAAATACCTGAATCCGGACATACAGAGCTACTGGAAAACAACATGGCATATCAAGATTTTAGGCAGGTCTCTGCCAGGAGTAAGACCTTATTTTTCAAGTATGACGGCACCGTGTACGTTTGTGCTCTGTGGAGTAGTAGAAGCACAGTCTGAGATTTCTGCACACCGAGTCCTGTATAACACACAAAAGTAAATATAAACAGACTCGTATTAAGAGAATCTACATACGCATATCTTCTCACCTTCAACTGTACTTGAATTCTGCTTAGAAAAGGTGACAACAACATTAACTCAGGATTAAACTGGTTTTAAGGTCTTCACATCAGTACTTTAAAAATATGAAACCAGCAGATAAAGTCTTGTTGTAATAAACATCTAAAATGAGGAAGTTGAAAAAAAAAAACAACAAACAACCATGTTTTCCACAGATAAAACAGCCAGCGCTGTTTTGATGGCTGATAATCATCCATTTCCATGTTTTACAGAGAGTTAACAGCTAAACTTTTGACATTTTAACAAAGAATCACGCTCTAAAAAGTAATTTCACAGTTATACATTAAGACATAAAGGGCCACACGGGTGTAGCTTGGTGACCCCAGACCACACCAAGCAAAACGAAAGCTCTGTCAAACACGAGCCTCATCTCACTTGATGCATTTTACAGAAGAACACGATTTGGTCCATCAGGATTCAAGACTATGGTCTACAAAGATGGTGAAAACCCAGACTATTGTTAGACGATCAAACCCCGCCGAGGGCAGGAAGGTCACTGGTGGACACCTGCACCTTTAAGAGAGAGTCAGAAAATTATCTGCAGCCTTTGCCACTGGACAATTAGATGCAAATCCAGCTGCCTCCGGTCATGCTTTGACCAGTTCACCATAAGACCAAAGCAACAAGCTCTACGTCAGGCTACATGTTAGAGTCAATCAAACCTCGGTTTGGCAAGGAACATCTCTGCCCCGGGTCAGGGTACAATTTTTCACATTTCTGGGGGCCACGTCCAGAGGCCAAAAGATTCTCAGGCAGTGTTACAACCCGACCCCTACGCACAGCTGTTGGAAGGATAACCTACGCACATTAGAAAACCCTTCTCTAGAGCTACAGTAAGATGCATTTCTCCCCTAAGCAGGGTTGGTGGCTCTGTACACGCAAGAGCAGATCAAAGGTTGCAGCAGAGCCCAGCGGATCCCCGCAGCTGATCTCAGCAAGGATGGTAAGAGCGGAGTGTAAGGATGACTCAAACTGCTTGTGCCTCTTCTTCTCTTCCAGCCAAGATGACCCAAGCGTGGAAGAGAGATGCCCAGCATCAGTCTTCCCTTCACTGAGGTATGTGGGACAGGCACCTCAGACAGTGCTGGCTGGAAAACCGGTACCTCAGCCCCAGTACTCAGAAACCTGCAGCTGCCCTGCTAGCAAACTGCCCACAGCCAACCAACAGCAAGACTTTCATCCGGACACTCAAGCAAGCTGCAGAGAAAATCCGTCCTTTCTCTGTCACACAACAAAGAGTGCTTCCATCCCCCATCTCAGTGCGGGCAGCAGCGGATTCACTAAAACCCGCTGCAAATGGCAAGGAGCCGTACAGCCTCGAAAAAACGTCTTGCCACTGGCTCCCCTCGGTGCAGAAATGCAGCTGAGCAGGATAAAGCGATTGAGGGAAAGCAGTTGTTCAGTAATCTTACAGCTAAGCTCATGGCAAACACCAGTGGATGCGCATACACTGTAAACCCGACACTCCTGTTCAGGGGGAACGAACCCCAAGAACCGTGCCTACTCAGTGGTGGCAGCAACATGGCCCTGCGAGAATTTTGAGTATACAAAAGATATAAAATCATACGCACATATTATATTTGACAATCTGAAGCTGAGCTTTCTCTCACTCCCTCATCTCTTTGATGTTGTCCTATTCCCAGGACAGAAGTTGAGCTCATATGTAATTTTCTTCCAGAAGTGGATTAACGCTGTTGACAGATATCCCGGGTGTTGGGTTGTGTTGTTGTTGGGGGGGGTGGGTTGTGTTTTGGTTTTGGTTGGGGTTTTTTTGTTGTTTTTTTTTTTTTTAACATGTCAATATTAGCACTTTAACCCTGCCATGAAACGTAAGGAGTATGAATATATAAGTAGTAGTCTGATATTTCAGAAAGCTTTGTAGTCTGCAAACACAAACATTTACCTTTGAGAATACAATAACTAAATTAATAAATAGATCTCTACCTTGTAGGTTCAAACGAGTTTTTAAAAAAGACAACCATGCTTAAAAAAAGTTCTCATACTTCTTTCCTAAATGATCAAGAGAGAGAATAGAGGAAATGAAAGGTTGAGCCTCATTTGAAGCAACAAGATCTGACATCTGGCTGAAAAAGATTCGCCATTTCACATTAGCAATTCTATCAGCCATGTCTTTATTTTGTAGCATGACATGATATGTGAAAATATGGCTAGAAACAATCCAGAACCAAAGCCCACAGAGTACAAGGCCAGGATTTATTCCAGCGAGCTTAAGTAAATCCCAGCGCCTAATTTAGGAGCATCACGCTACATCCCTCTGAGCAGCCTTGGCAGAACCAAAAGAACAACAGGCATCTCCAAAGCTACGAGTCACCTGGGTCTGAGTTACCTTCTGGAGGTGCTTAACTCTCAGTAGACCAAAGAGCACGACTAGTGCAACGAGGCTCCTAGTTCTGGTGGTCTCATTACGCATCGAAGGAGCAGGATGAAAGAAGGCCCTAAAAAAAACCAAAAAAAACAACCCAAACCTCAAAGCCAAAGTCCCTGCTGGATGTGCCACGAGCGGCCACAGCGAGGAGAGAGCTGGTCTCATCGAGCAGCATGAGGGGCACGACAGTGAGCGAGGGCAGAGGACAGTGGCAGCGAGCTGCGTGGTGTGTAACAACGTGGAGTGCGTTTCGTGCTCTGTCTACAGCCCGTTTACCAGAGAACGAGTCCTCAAGCACTTGGTGTGTGAAGCACAAGTGTGACTTCAGCAGTGCTTCCTGGGGAGTGTCATACTGTAAGTAACATTATTTTTTTTTTTTTTTTTTTTTTTTTTTTTTTTTTTTTTAAACTTTTATGTGAGCCTCACACCTCCCACTTTGCCCTCCGAAACAAGTTCTGATTCATACCTCAGCTTTGATAAGGAACAAATGATGCAGCCTTCGTACATGCTCGGTGCTAGAGATCAAGTCCTTGGGCAGTGTAAATCACCATAACCTTCACGACCTCTCAGACAGCGAGGGCCTGAACCTGGAACACTCCACATTCACTCCAGGGTTACTGCACATATTTTTTTTTTTTCCACACAAAGTCCCATAGTGATCAGGCCTAACATCAGGCACAAGAGGAGAGCATGAAACGCTTCAAAACTTCTGGACGCAGATGCCTAAGTGAAGCTATTTCCCAGCATCCTCAAGAACACGCTGGGTTCTAGAGTAAAAAGAAAGTAAAAAACCCAAACCAACCGTGTTTTTCACACTGAGACCATGTCAGCGTTTAGAGAGATGAGAGTTTCCTATGAACCATCACTTGTATTTTCTAACACACATTAAGTTCTAGAACAGACCTTCCCAGGACTCCTTTGTACTTTATACTCTTTAGGTGACCATCTAGCCTGTTCCTGAGTTCCAGGATATTTGATTTACCCTCAAAAAAAGAGAAAAAAACAACAAACAACCAGTTAAAAGCCCAAACCCCGAATCACCCCAGCAGTTCTTAAAGCTCAATACCCAAGCTGGTAGCAGTGGTCATACAGAGTCTCACATCTCCCCTGTCCTTGCTTCTCCCTTCCTGCTGCTCACACACTGTCTGCTTGCAGCCTGCCCCGTCCCTTCCAGCGCTCAGGTGTCTCTCTGTGAATGAGTAGCAGTCACGTTCAGTTCAAGTTTCCGGTACTGAGTCAGGCAACAGGAACAACAGCACGTAACACGGTCTGTGTCTACTGCAGCTGGGAGACGTGAACCAGCCTCGACCGAGCCAGCAAGAGGGCCAAAAGCAGTGACGATTCCACCAGTTTAGGCTTCTGTGCTCGCTTGTAAACCCAGCCTAGACCACAGGCACGCTACCACGTAGCTGACACACGCTGGAGTCCTCGTCACTGCAACTTATAGTTCGAATAACTTGTGTACGTCTGTGCACCTCGCAAGCTCACTTCTGCCTGCAGTGCTGGCCTTGGGCGAGGTAGCGCTGGGACCAGTTGCAGAAGCTTTTCTCTTCCACATGTCGCGGAGTGGCTGCTGGAGCAGATGGTGTGGAGGGCTGAAGGGAGCGGGGCATCTTCATAACTTCCCCGCCTACAGCAACACCAGTCTGGTGACTTGCTGGCTTCCAGAGTTTGTGCACACCAACACAGAGAAAACCACCTGTCCAAGCTATCTGTTGGGAAATTACACGCAGAACCACCCCCAAAATAAACCTGAAATTGGCAGAAATCAAAGGCAGAGCTCAAATGATTCACGAAGAGAAAATAGGATTAAGAATATCATTGAATGTTACGCA